GGGGTTTGGGGTGTGGTGGGGGCGTGCTCGTGTTCCCTCGGGGTGATCAGGGTGCTGTGGGGTGTTGAGGTGCTGGGGGGGTTGGAGGGGCATTTGGGGTGCTTGGAGGGGGGGTTTGGGGTGTCCTGGGAAGGGATTTGGGGTACTTGGTGGAGGGGTCAGGATGTGGGGGTGGTCAGAGTACCCTGGGGAGGGTGCTGGGGGCTCAGGGAGGGGTGGGATGTGGAGTGCTGGGAGGGAGAGGGTTTGGGGTGCCCGGGAAGGAAATTGGGGTGCTTGGGGGCTGGTCAGGGTGTCCCAGAGGGGAGGGGTCTCCCCCAAAATGGGGGGTCTCACCTGAGCACAGCAGCAGCAGCAGCAGCAGCAGCAGTGACGCCGCCATCAGCCCGGGGGGGGCCCGGGCCATGCTGTGTCCTGGGGACCCCCAAACTGAGGGAGGGCCCCCAAACCCACCCCGCCCAAGAATCCCACCCCCCTACCCCCCTTCCCTCCAGATTAGCCACCCAAAAGCTCCCCAACCCCTTCCTGCCCAGTTTCCCAACCTCCAACTCGCCCTTCCCAAGGATTTTGGGGTTCCCCCCCCACCCCCGGGATCCCCCCCAAAACCCACCGGTGGTGGTGGGGCCGCTCCGTGTCCCTCCCGCCGCGGAGACCCCCATTTATCGGGGCGGGGGGGGCGGTGCCGGGGGCGGTGCCGGGATTTTTTGGAGGGGGAGAGGGCAAAGTCCAGGTAAACAGGGGAGGAGGGGCCGGGGCGGGGTCCTGGGGTGGGGCTTGGGGGGGAAATGGGGGGAAAGGGGAGTGGAGGGGCCCCCCCAGCTGGCACAATCCTCTCCCCCGCCCCAAACCCACTTTGAGCACCCCGAAATCCCAACTCCTCCACGCCCCATGGGCCCCCCAACCTCCTCCAGGGCCCCCCAAGCCCCACACTCCCCAAAGACCCCCCCAAACCTGTCCCCTCTCCTGCCCCCGTGGGGTCCGGGGGGTTCTTTTGGGGTGCACTGAGACTTTGGGGGTGCGGGGGCTCTATTGGGGTTCGAGGGGGGTCTGTTGGGGTGCCCTGAGCCCTTTTGGGGTGTGAGTTGTTGATTTGGGGCACTCCGAGCCCTTTTAGGGTGCGGAGGCTCTATCGGGGTTCATGGGGACTGTGGGGGTGCTCTGAGCACTTTTGGGGTGCACTGAGCCGTTTTTGGGGTGCGGGTTGTCGTTTTGGGGCACCCCGAGCCCTTTTGGGGTGCGGGGACTCTATTGAGGTGCAGTGGGTCCTTCTGGGGTCCCGAGTGTCTCCTTGGAGCTCACAGAGTCCTTTTTGGGTCGCTCTGAGCCCTTTTGGGGTGCGGGCTCTCTGTTGGGGTGCTTCGAGCCCTTTTGGGGACACGGGGTGTGGTTTTGGGATGCGGGGGGTGGTTTTGGGGTGCCCTGAGCCCCTCTTTGGGTGCCCCGCTCCCCCGAACTCCCCCCCACAGCAGACCCACACGTGGAGCGTCTCCATCATCGTTTATTGCTGCGCCTCCAACAACTCTCCCCATTTCAGGCCCCGCGCCCGGACTTTGGGGCGCTCCCCCTCAATCCCGGGAGGTCTCGGGGATCCCCCAGAGGGCCCTGAGGGCGGCGGCCCCCCCCTCCCAGCGCTTCCTCAGCTCCTCCGAGTCCCGGCTCAGCCTCTTGCGCAGCTTTCGGGCGAACGAAGCCCCCCGGGCCCGCAGGTCCCCCCAGCTCTGCTCCAGCAGCGCCTTCGCCTCCACCCCGTACTCGGCCGCGCGGTCCCGCGCCTCGTCCCGCAGCGCCCGGAACTCCCACACCACCTGCCTGGAGGAAATGGGGGTACACAGTCAGTCTGCAAATCCCTAAAGAGTCCCCAAATCCCCAAAGAGTCCCCAAATCCCCAAAGAGTCCCCAAATCCCCAAAGAGTCCCCAAATCCCCAAAGAGTCCCCGAATCCCCAAAGTGTCCCTGTGGGGTCTGTGGGTGCCCCGCGCCTCGTCCCGCAGCGCCCGGAACTCCCACACCACCTGCCTGGAGGAAATGGGGGTACACGGTCAGTCCCCAAATCCCCAAAGAGTCCCCAAATCCCCAAAGAGTCCCCAAATCCCCAAAGAGTCCCCGAATCCCCAAAGTGTCCCTGTGGGGTCTGTGGGTGCCCCGCGCCTCGTCCCGCAGCGCCCGGAACTCCCACACCACCTGCCTGGAGGAAATGGGGGTACACGGTCAGTCTCCAAATCCCCAAAGAGTCCCCAGATCCCCAAAGAGTCCCCAAATCCCCAAAGAGTCCCCGAATCCCCAAAGTGTCCCTGTGGGGTCTGAAGTGTCCCTAAGGGGGTTCCCCTCCCCACTTTGCTCCCCTCCCTCCCCTTTTTGGGGTGCTGCTTTTCCCCTCCCCATTTTGATGTCTCAGGGCCCCCCTCGCCCACCTCTTTGGGGTGTCCCCCTTGATTTTTGGGGTCCAGGCCCACTCCCCACCACTTTGGGGTGTCCCCCCCGTTTTTGGGGTCACTCACTGCAGCCGCTGCCCCAGGGGGCTCTCCCGCAGCCGCTCCGTCGCGTTCTCGGCCGCTGCCCCCAGGACCCCCAGGACCCTCCAGACCCGCGAGGGGGGGCTCGAGGTGGGGGGGGCCGTGGGGGTGGGGGTGGCCAGTTCGGCCCCGCAGCCTGTGGGGAGAGGGGTCAGGGTCACTCGGGGGGCGCCCCAAAATCCCCTTCTGTCCTTGGGGTGCCCCCCCTGCACCCTCACCCCAAATCTCCCTCCCGAGTTCAGGGGGATCCCCCAAATCTCCCTACCCCCTCCTCAGTTTGGAGGCCAATTAAGGGGGTTTTACACCGTGGGGGTGGCATTGGGGGGTGACACTGAGGGACATTTGGGGGGTGACCCTGGGGGGTGACACTCACCTGCCAGCAGCGCCGCTGCCACCAGCGCGACCCAGAGCTTCATGGTGGCACCTGGGGGGCACAGAGGGGTCGGGGTGAGGGGCCCCCAAAAGATCCTCCAGAGGGTCCCCGGGGTGTCCCAAACCCGTACCCTTGTCCCCCGAATAGGGCCCAAATGTCCCCAACCCGCCCTGCCCCATCCCCAAATTATCCCCAAATGCCCCCAAATGTCCCCAACCCGCCCTTCCCCATCCCCAAATTATCCCCAAATTATCCCCAAATGCCCCCAAATGTCCCCAACCCACCCTGTCCCATCCCCAAATTGTCCCCAACCAACTCGTGACACCAAAGTGTCGCCGACCCCCCCCAGGTTATCCCCTCCCCCTTGTCCCCAAATGTCCCCAGCCCCCCCTTTCCCCCACCTGTTCCCCCTCCTCACCTTGTGGGGTCCCTCCGGCTCCGACCCCCCCCTTGGGGGGGTCACTAAATATCCCCGCGTGGGGGCGGGGCAGGGGGAGGGGCCCAAGTGACCTTTGCCCTCCCGCCCCTCCCCCCCGCGCCCCTCCCCCCTCCCCCCAAGAAGGGGGGGACACCCCAAAACCCGTCCCCCAACCCCTTTATCCCCACAAAACACCCCAAAATTGGGGTGTGTGTGGGGGAACGGGATGTGGGATGGGGGTCACCCCCCCCCCGTGATTTCCCCTCCCCCCTCCCCTCCCCCCCCCGGGCACGGCCCCCTGGACTTGGGACACGACGTGGCGGAGGGGGAGGGGCAAGGTCCAAGGGGGGGAGGGGCACCCAGAATTGGGGGGCGAGGGGGGAAATTTGGGGGAGGCGAAGCCCCCCCAAGTGTGTGTGGGATCCCCCCGAGATGAGCTGAACCCCGAAATGGGGGAGGGACGAACCCCCAAAATCCAGGGTGACCCCCCACCTCCAAAATCCGGAGTGAACGCCCCAAAATCCAGGTGACCCCCCCCACACACCCGGGGGAACCCCGAAAACGGGGACTGGGGTGGGGCCTGAACCCCCCGAACCAGCTCTAGGGGGAGGCAAATGTCCCCCAAATGTCCCCCCCCTTCACTGACCCCCAGCTCGAGGGGGGCTGAACCCCCAGCATGGGGCTGGGACCCCCCCATTTGGGTATTGGGGGGGTGAACCCCAAAATTGGTGTTTGCCCCCCCAGACTGGGGACCCACAGAGATGTGGGTGGGGCTGTTCTGGCAGGCCCAAAGTTGGGGTGACCCTGGGGTGGTTTTGGGGCACAGAGACCCCCCCTAAAAACCTGGGCTGCCCCCTCCCCTGGTATCAGGTCCCCCCTCCAATACTGGGGGGGTCCCCCCATATTGGGGTTCCCCCCATGTCCCTCCCCCCTCCCCCTGTTTTTGGGGGCTTTTTTTTTCTGGGTGGGGGGATTTGGGGAACAACTGGGAGGGGGGAGAGGGGAACTCATGCCCCCCCCCCAAAAACAGCCGAGACCCCCAAACCCGAGGCCAGTTGCTTTATTGGGAGCCCCCCCGCTGAGAGGGGGCCCCCCAATCTTTGTTTGGTGGGGGGGCACTGAGGGGCCCCCCCAGTTTTGTTTTTTTGGGGGGGGTGTCTGGTCTCCTCGTGACCCCCCTTGAACCCCAAAATCCATCCAGTCTCTGAGGGGTCCTCTGGGGAGGGGGGTGGGCAGGAATTGGGGTCCCCCCTCCTCAATTCCCCGAGGGGAGGGGGGTGAGTCCAGATGGGGGGGAATGACCCCCAAAAGTGGCTTTGGAAGGGGGGGAGTGGGGGCTGCCGGCAGCTGGGGGGGAGAGGAGGAGGAGGAGGGGGCGAGGAGGGAGATGAAGGGGAGGAGGGAGGTGAAGGGCAGCGGGGCTGAGGATGATGAGGGTGACGATGGGCAGGACGGCAGCGATGAAGTGGACGAGGAGGACGGGGGTCCCTCGGCCGAAGGTGAGGCCGAGGATGAGGACGAGGCCCCTCGGGCGATGGCGAGGCCGAAGGTGAAGATGAGGATGGTGACGAGGCCCCTCGGGCGATGGCGAGGCCGAAGGTG